TTTTGATACTGCTACTATTATCTGTGTGGGATACACTGGCCAAGAATTAAGAATAGGTTGATGCACATTTTCTAACGGTTTGAAGATGGAAGCTCTTGGAAAAAAATCAACGAACAGTGTATATATACTGCCGCGAAATACAGTTTCTGGATAGCTATAGTTGAAAAAGCAACGAGTGCTCTCCCTCCACAATCATTTTCATCCTAAAGAGTGTCGTCAACATCCATACAGTAGAGTTCAGGTTGGTACAGCCATCTTAGTGGTACAAGGGATAGCGTGAGAAGCAATCCTCGAGAAGATTGCACTCCACCGTCATGCTTGCATTGCTGAACAGGATCGATATGTCTTCCACATTGCCTAACAACTTCAGCAGCGGCGATAACATATCTGCATGAGAAATCAACCCAACCATACGCTTGGTTGAGTTGTCCCAGGAGAAACGCACAGTACCACTCACAACTAGTTGTTCCCCTAGTAACTTACCAGCGATGCGAGTCAATCTTTTCTGATTAGCTGGTCTTCCTCGAAAACCATTACACAGAAAGACTTCATCAACACTTCTTTTGCTGAACGTGAAGCTCGTGGTTGTCCTAGCCACGAGAGAATTCTCAGTGATTTGTTGCACTTGCTCGCACTGGAAGCGAACATCGCCAAAGAGGTGGCTGAAGACCCCCCAGGTTCTCGCCAACGCCTCAAAACCAGACATCGTTCCCGCGTCAAGATCCGGAGCCATGCATAGTCTTAAGAAGTCTAGTTCGGCGACTCGTGAGCCGTCCGGCTCGATAAATCCACGACGAAACACTCGAAAATACTCCGTCACCACGTCGTGCATCGTGATATGTGGTGCATTCCCAATGAAGAGTTTGTTACGCCGAGTCCTCAGGTACTGAATCTCATCACGAAGTTTTCCATTGCATTTGTGCAGATTTTCCATCAACGCCTTCTGCCTGAGACGGTATCGCTCTTGGCTTTTTCGATGGCGCTCTCGGTGAATGGCCTCCACGAGATCCTGTCGTTTGTTTGTGGATAGATCAACTCTGAATCGAGAAGGTCGGCCGAGAACTTTTCTCGTGTGTGTAGTTGGATTGACCACCCGAATAGGCTCCACGTCAGTAACGGGGTCGAACTTGTGCGCGCACGGAAACACGGAGTTTCTTGGCACCATGGTATTCTTGTTTGTAGCGGACACAAAGGAGTGCTTTCGAGTTCGAGCTCGCTGTAGCACACAGGCGATAACATCTTGACCGAGTGACTGGAAGTTAGGCGGGTGAAGCACGTCTGATGACATGGTCGATTTGAATTCTTGGTCTAAGCTGTAGTTGACGACTCTTCTTAGAGTATTCGCGGAGGTAGACAAAATGTGTTGTGTGGGTAGGACGTGGGTTTGTCGACTGATCACCGAATTTAATCCGTAATTTACTATCACATCATAGTTTTATCATACTTACCGCAGGTTGTATGCATGGATTGCGTGATAATGTATGACTTTTAATTAATACTAATCAGCAGTTGTTACGATCAATTTCCGAGAAGCCATTTAGGTACACTATTTTAAAACCATGAGAAAACAGATATTCCCACCCCGGAGTGGGAATGACATTCGTTCTATTTTAGCGTTAATAGTAATCGGAAGTGCGAGACTCTGGCCCCAGAACATACACATTGCAAAGCAAAAACAGCTTGATTCAATTCCAGGTGTTTTCCTCACGCGAATCCATTCCAAATCATTGTTAGTATTATGCGGATTGGATCATCTAACACAGCATTGGTTGGAACAGGAGGATTTGTCATTGATTAGTAGTTAACGAATACTAGTACTTCGAAGTACATGTTGAAACTTATCTGTTGCGTCAATGCGTCTGGTGATTAGTATGGACTAACAATCATGTGTAGGTAATCGCGTAGTACTAATCAAACTGGGCTTTTGTCGAAAGATTCGTAATATAACGCTCCTAATCTAATTCTGTGTCAAACAGATACAATTACGCTTATCACTTCTACAAGGCTTTGGTTTAAGGGTACTTTCAACCGCGTCATAAAAGTTGGAAAAGCGAATATATATGCATGAAACATTCAAGTCATCGGACTTGAAGCTCCATCGGTACTGTGATACTGTCGAGTGCCGCTGATACAGAATCTTTGCCAGTTAGGAAGAGCGTTTAGTCTTGCGGAGTCATCCAGTTATGTCTTGCTTTCTTTTCGTGTCTGTAACGGTAGTATGCATGTTTTGTTGTGGCTCATTGTGCCACATTGTGATTGGTTTGCCAAGACTTGTCAAAATTTATTAATACCGCATTGTATTTTACATGTATGATGGGTACAGAATCCTTAAGCCACAATGTTTTTTTTTTTTTTTTAGGTATTCACATGTTGAACTGTGGCAGCATTGTTGCTATGAAGGAATTACCCGTGGTATTTGCACCCGTAACAGTACATGTATTATTTTCACCGAACCATCTTGGTAGTGGCCAACGAACACTCGCGGGCTTGCAGTTCTCAAATCAGCAAGTTGCTCGTGATCCAGTTCCAGTTTGTACAGATGTTGTTTGACCATGTCTCTTGTGCTTGATCGTGACCGGATGGTGTTTGAATCGCTCTGTAATAATTGTCGTTTGCTTTCGCTCCAGACATTCAGAATCTGGCGCCTTTTCATGTAGAACAGGATAGTTGCCTCACTTTCTTCCTAGAATTACCATTACTCGATAGTCCAAGACTAGATGACTGACTATTAGACATCAAGGCTTCTTTAAAAAAAAATAGTTCGTCGAGTTGTCATCCAAGAATCAATCTAAGTTTCTTCATTTAATAATTTGATTTGATCAAGACACTTGCACGTGGATATCGACTGTCATGGCGCCCTTCAGGCCTTGGCTGTTTTCGCTACTTCTAAATGTGTTGTTTCAATATGTTTGGACGTACAACATCGGTATCGGTAAGAGCGACATTACTGGACCTGCCGCTGAAGTCAACATGATGGGGTTTGCCGACCTGCAGGAAAGCACAGCAGGAATTCTCAACCGCCTCTATGCCCGAGCATACCTCATCGAAGATCCAGACTCCAAGAACCGCGTCATGTTTGTTCACTGCGACCTGCACTCGGTCATGCAACTCGTTCACCAAGAAGTTATCGCTCAATTAGCAACGAAATACGATGGCGTTTACACTGCACAAAATGTGATCCTCCATGCGACACACACGCATGGTGGGCCCGGCGGCACAGCAGGATACTTCCTTTACGATATATCCATCCTCGGATTCATTAGTGAGAGTTTCGACCAAATTGTGAGCGGCATCCTAGCAGCCATCGACCAGGCGCATAATTCCGTGGAGAAGGGCGACATTCGCTGGAACAAGGGTGAGGTCGAGAAAGGAGGAAAAAACCGATCACCGGATGCATACGGTGCGAATCCGGCGGGGGAGCGCGAGAAATACACCAGTGATATCGATACCACAATGCGCGCATTACACTTCTTCAGCAGTAAGGGCACTCTACGCGGTATTCTGGCTTTTTACCCTGTCCACCCGACCAGTCTGACAATGAAGAACCGCTTGATCAGTGGTGACAACAAGGGGTTCGCGGAGTTTCTAATGGAGGAAAAATTCGAAAATGTTGTTGTTGGTATTGGAATTTCCAACGCCGGTGACGTGAGTCCTAATCTGGTGGACAACGGCGACGGCACCTTTGCCGGTGAGGGTAGAGATTCGGTGGATTCGGCGGAGATTATGGGCCACCGTCAGTTCACCACCTTGTCTTCTTTAGTCGAGGCAGAATCAGAACTCGTTACGGGCTCAGTTGTGGCGAAGTTATCATATGTCGACTTCTCGAACGTCACGCTAACCAACGTAACCGCAACGGAAGCAGATCCGTACGCCCATAAAACGTGTCCTGCTATTGTTGGGCAGAATATGGCAGCAGGAACAGAGGACGGGCGTGCACTGAGTATGTTCACGGAAGGAAACCTAAAAGAAAACAAGTTTTTCAAACTCATCAGCGGAGTTATCAAGAAAACTCCTGACTGGGTCCAGGACTGCCAGAACGCCAACAAGGTTCCGCTACTCGCTGTCGGACTGATGGATAAACCTTGGGTACCCTCGACACTGCCCGTGCAAATAGTCAAGATCGGACAGTTTGCAATCGCTGTGACTACTTTTGAAACGACAACGATGGCTGGGCGGCGAATCAAAGACAGTGTGAAGGCAGCACTGTCAGGAATCGGAGTGAAGGAGGTTGAACTTGCTGCTGTGAGCAACGCTTATTCGCAGTATTTGACGACAAAAGAAGAATATCTGACGCAACACTACGAAGGAGCTTCGACGCTGTTCGGTCCCAATCAACTTGCCGCTGTACAGCAAGAGCTGAACCGCGTGGCTGCATCGATTGTTGACCAATTGGTGCCGTTGGACGTGGGCCCCACTCCATTGCAGATTAAACGCAACGATTTGTTGACTCTTCAAACGGGCGTTGTTCTTGATACATCACCGTGGTTTAAGTCTTTCTCGCACGTTCGAAAGCAGCCAGAAGAATCGTATGCCATCGGTCAGATGGCATCGGCTCAATTTGCTGGTGCGCATCCAAAGAATGCTCTTACACGAGTTTCATCTTTTTGCGACCTGCAACGAGTTGACTCTGACGATTCCTCTCCAACCATACTCACTGATGCCCACTGGGACCTTCGTTACCGCTGGAAGCGTACTGGTATTTCAGAGAGCACGAACACATGTGAGTGGTTCATCCGACCAGGAGGACGAGCAAGTGTTGCTGGCACGTATCGTTTTGTCCACCGCGGATACTCGAAACAGCTAGGAGGCAAACTCAAGCCGTACGAAGGAGTGTCGAAAACATTCACTATAGCCTGATCTACAAGAAGGTGTGACACCCGGTATCACTCTTCTTGAATAGTTTGCCGAGATAAAAGAAATAAAGAATCGGTGCCATGAACAGCTCTGAAAATGACCAAAAAAAAATGGACTCTTAGTGCTGGGTGGACTACAGTACACCGCTCGTGGACGTTTAAACTTGCTGCAAGGGCATAATAGTGGTCACGCAGCTTATAGTCAGTTCTTCCCGAATCTCGAATTTAGTATCGATGTACAAAAAAACGAGGTAATCAGGTGGGTTCTTCGGTACCACGAAACCAAGGGTACTGGTGAATATATTCACCTAAGTTTGAGAGCTGGGACTTCCTTTGTCGACGCGTTTCCTGCACCGGCTTGGCGTAGCTGCTACTGCGGCTACTTGGAAGTATAACTCGAAGTCATGGTGGCAAAAGCAGTTTACGGTTGAATGGTTGTCACCAGGGCAGATGAACCGAAATTTATTTTTCTTTGTCAAACATTGCAAAATTCCCCCTTGCATTCATCACAAATATCAGGCGGGTGGGGGATAAATCGTGTGACGTTTTGTCGCATACTATTACATGCATACTGGCGATGACGTAGACTTAGTTCATTAACCTTTCCAAGTCAACACAGCGATATTGGGGCACAGTCACGTCGTATTGCAGTGTGTTAGCGAGGCCGACTCGTGAATGGAGCTGGCCGGAGCATGGGCGTGGAGTGGTGGGTTTGCTTGTGCTGCTCATAGAAAACTACAAAATGACTGACTGTTGCTACGGCTCCTGCGCTACCTCTCAGTATAAAAATACTTCATCTTGGCGATCTTGTCGAGGACGATATTCTATGTTTGATGATATCGGCTTCCAAACCTGGAAAACTTCGATAAACACGTGGAGTCCAAGGCCACCACTATAGTAAATTACTGCATATTTGTGTTAACCCTTCATGAGTTTTTGCTTATTACAATATATAATATAAAAGTCCCGGTTGTTATTCTCTCACGGGAAATAGACTCCCAGGTAGTGATAATCCACCCTTGTGATCAAAACCGGGGGCCAGTGCCACTGGTTGAACAAAACAATACCATCATCGACTGCTTTGAAGTTGCCACTTGCACTTACCAGTACAAGCGAAACCTTTCCATCTGCTGTAACCGGGTTCATTGCTGGCAAACTGTTCGTCTAAGTACGTCGTACTTGTCATTTGAGTACAGCAGTCGTGGAGTCCAACTTGTGCCCACTCCCCTACAGTTACAGCGCATTATGCTGAAATATTCGCTTTTCTAAACGTCCACCATCGAATCCGACATTTTGATTTTTGGAAAGAAAAAAAACAGGATAGAACAGATTTGCAGTAAACGTAATTAGAACTGGTACTCGGTTCTAATTGCGTTTATTGTGCCTTTCTGCCAAAACGCCCTCAGTTTTATGGTCCTACGTAGGAGGGTGGCCCTTACGGAAGACCTCCTATCTGATCGGTGCTTCCGACTAAAATTTAGCCTAACCCTTTGACGAAAAAGAAAGACGATGCCAATCAAAGAAAAAGGGTGTTGCTTTACATACTCGCGAACAAATTGTTGCATTTCAATCGGCCATTTAGGTGACCACTCATTCTTTGGGGTGTCGTCGACATTTCCTGTTGTCTTGAAGAGATGGTACCATCTCCGAAGGCTTCTGGCCGAGACGCCCAGTACACCGGCAACTACGCTGATCTCAATATTGTAGACATATGAGTAGCCCATATTTGATTTAAAATCAATCTGTTGTGGATACCTTACGTAAGGGTAAATGACCGGTAAATACTGGCCATTCAGTCCTTAATTTGTTAAAATGTACCCTTTAGACCAAATCGGAGCCCTTATCTAGGACCTCCACAATCAAGTATTATTGGATCATAGTCGGCAAAATCAAACAGTGTTATTGGTCAAATATCATTTTATTTAGTGGCCTGGCTTAGCAATTCAACTCCAGTTCGTCCTCAAATCCCACCTTTAGCCCTACCCACCATTGCTTAGGACCAGCTTTTAAAGGTCAGATTGGCCAAAACTTTGGAAAGGCACAATACTGCAAATCTGCGCAGTCCCCTGAACAAAATGGCTAGTACCATTTTGAACTTTCGCATGTGGAAGTTTTTTCAATAGCATGTCGCCCATTTGCGTCTTTGCCTTTCGACACTCGTTCCACCAAACAGAACAGAAATTATCAATGCGCCTGCACGGCGTCTTCCTTCGCTGTTGTGGTCATCCTAACTACAGGAAGCCATGGATTGTCAACTGCCATGGCAAGCGATCAAGCCAAGTTGCCAACCACGACTGCGCCTGACACAGCCTTCTCTATCCGTTCACTTCCGAGTGAGAGCGATGGATACACCACAAACAAGCTTCGGGGCGCTGACGAAGCAAGACGAGGAGAGAAGATTCTTGCCGAATGTGAAGCTGAAGCTCTTCCTGGTTCTAGGATTTAATCCTCAGACTGCAAATCGGTTTTTATCCAAGGCGCAAGCGAAAAAGTTCTACTATTTGTGGCTTAACAAAATGGCAGCCAGGAAGCCTCGCACGAAGGCTTGACTTGTGCTTTGAGCGCAAAAACAACGCGGTTAGAAATTAGTTGGAATAATTTTGCTCCGTAAAGCTTTAAAAAATTGAAGGTACCACTCAAATTCTTCTTTTCGTTATTTTTTTTAGCACGACTACTCATGGCTACTTCGCAGTATCAAGCAAAGCTTTTTTCTTTACGAATCTGTAGCCATCGCAGTAGCAGTAAGCGAGCGTACAATATCCGGGTTTTGCTACTCAATCTGCTCGGCGCACTGGTTGACATTGAAGCACAGCGAGCTGATTCGTATATCGAACGCCGCCAAGACCTCGTCTTCCGTATTCTCAAACTCCAGAAATCCCAAGTGCTGGTCGATGCTTTCCTTCCACTTGGGCTTATCATTTGTTCGGAACGACCTTAAACTGAGGAAACGGAATTCTAAGGAAACGATACTGAATTGTGAGGAAAACCCGATATCTCCTCTCGTAGATAAACTATTGCCCTAGACAGTTTCGAGAGGAATAGGATGGCGCAAGCTACCATATTCACCAGACCCGGTTGGATTCTTGTTTCTTACTTCTAACAGGCTTTCCGGGTTCAGATTTGTAATCGCTCCTGGAAGCAAAATATAAAGTTTTGTCTCTTGACCACTCATCAGTCCTTGTGGCTACTTATTCTAGACGTCCATGTAGCTTTGCAGCGATCAGCTCTTTCTGAGTATTGAATGAGCGGTAAAAACTTCAAATATTACTCAGTTTTCAGCCCTTCCTCAGAAGTCAGAACTAGATTACTCACAAATAAGTATCACCCCTTTGTTCAGACTCTATATGTCTGAACGGGCGGGTGCTCTGAGCTTTTGTAAATCCGATACTTCGAAGCAGATTCAATGGTGTTGTGGATTTTTCAACTACTTCCTCCCTCCACGATCGCCTTTAGAGCTCGAGGTTCTTTCGATCATGCTTTGCTTATTTTGAACTTGTTTCGTGCCGAGATGCGTTTTTACTTAATCACAGCTGTATAGCGGTGGCTAACGCGTATAGATTTGCAGAATGAGCACAGCAGCTGCAGAATGAATTTTTGTTTGAACGTGATCGGGGTGCCGTGCAAACAGTAATTTCGCCGGTTTTAATTGGAATAATTGTTAGACAACTTGCTTTTCGAGCGACCCTGCTACGCACAGTGCATTTTGCTACAGTATTAATCTGTGAGACGTCCGACTCGATCAGCTCGACTAGCCATAAGTTTGTGAGGCGTATTCCAGCAAAGAGGAATACTGGCTCTGCTCTGAACGTGTGGCTTGTCCAGGGAGGTCCGAACTGTGATCCATCGTTGTGTGAGTCTAAGACTACAAATTCAAGCTATGCAGTAGCTCACATTCGTATCTTTTTAATTACCGTGGATAATTCAATCCTCTTTCTGTTCGCAGGGATCAACTATGAAGCGAAAATCTACACTATGGACCGTCGCGGAGTCGTGCAAAGCACGTAGTTAACCTGTAAAGAAACTCAGGAGGCTTTGAAGTTGTCAACAACCGGAGCCTTGGATCCGTCGCAGATCCCAGCGTGCGCGCAAGAATTGGAACAAAAGTTTGGTGATCTCGGGCCCTTCTCGACTACTAGCGCTGCCAAGGATTTAGCTACATTCCTCTATAGGTATGGCAACGATTTCAGTACAACCGTTTATGGAGTGGGTTATGGCACCGTGTGGGTAGAGCGGGTCATGTATTTGGATCCTTCCGGAAGTGACGGGTTATGTTTTATGGACAGCGTGCTCACAACCTTGGGTGCTTCACCTGATAAATTCGCGAATGTTACATCGTCCTCCGTCGCCGTCAAAGAGGTAGGTGATGCGTTCCTAAATCTTTGTGATGCTGCAATTCTCGCTTCATGGAGAGAAATCTGAAGTCCACGGTGCAGCAAATATAGGTCCAGCTCGGTTGTGCCAAGCTACTAAAGACGATGGCGACTGCAATTGAGCACGAGGTCGGCTAGCCATCGTTCTATCTTCGCTTCCTGCTAGTGGTTCTGCCGCGAAACTCCAGCTCGAGAGCACTTATCCCACCAATCGTGTATCGATTGACTCTCTGTGCTGAAATGGATGTCGATTGCTTTCCCACTTGGCTGCACACGTAAACAAGGACGTCACCTCTCCAATCCCTCTCCTCAGCAACCTCATATCGTATTCCGAGATGTGGGAGACCCCAACGTCGTCCATCGAGCAGATGAGAGCGCAGGGTAAAGCGACTACGCATGACTTCTGGTGGGATCTGGGACGATGAGATACGGATGTTCTGTGCGTACTCCAGAGAGAAATCGTCGGTGTGTAGCAAGCTCAATCTTGGAGACTACAAAGCCAATGGTATAATCTACGAGCGCTACGAGTGCTGGAATAAGGCCTCCAAAACCTAGGACCAGGCCGCGGTGCTGATCATGAGCAGCGAACTCGACCCCGCGGAACCTCCTAAAAGCAAAATATCTGTAGGACGCTTTTGATGGTGAAAAAAAGGAGCTTATCACTTTCAAGTACCCAGCGCAATCAAACTCGCCACTAAAACCGACGAGGTTCTTTGCGGCATGAAAGTCTTGATCTCCTTTATACAAGGCGACGGAGATGTGGACAAGCAGAACAATGCGTGTGTTGCAGAAGAAATGGCGTCTGCGCATAACAGGACAACACCGCTCGAGTATCCGTACATATTGAGTACCGCTATTACAACGCATACGACGGTGCGTATGATGCAAATTTGAGTGATAAAGCTTTGACAAGACAAAATAAAGGCTGGTGAGTAGAAGGATTGTTAGCGCTGACGACGCTCGCGGTCATGACGATTTAATACTTTTCAGATTTCATTCACCACTGCTTCCTTGAAGTATTACACTGCATTGGCGGGTCGTTAGCTACCAAAAGTTACAACTGCATCTTGGAATCGACAGCCGAATAGATCGAAAAGTATCTACCATCCTGTCCCAAATAGGTCATTTAAATAACAATGCACCTGGGATGAATCACGAATGCAGAAATAACAAAGTTACGAAAATTCAGCATTGCAACTACTTCGAATGGAGGTGTCGTCAAACTCAATTCACTACAGCTTAAACGGTGTTCGTACGGATGTTATTATAGGCGGCTCCATCACCAGACGTCGAAAAAAAAAGTTAGTTTCTTAAAACTACCACCCAATTCAATTTTTCCATCAAGTCTTGTGTGGGTCGTTCTTGTCGTGCATGATATTTTCCAAGTCACGATATCTGTCGGATACGTCGCCCCAAAGACATTTGAAAACGGTCAATATAGTACGTCTCGCTCTGGATGACGTCAAGCGGCTCGACACGCATCAAGTGCAGCTCGCGCGTTTCTGCAAAGGACAACGCCGAGTCATTGTGTGCATATCGAGCGTCGACAATATGAGCGTCGTGCGGTAAAATGTTATCGTCAAAGAACATTGCGTGAACGCCTTCAGCAGAATCTGTTGGGTCAAGCACCAGAAGCTTTCCAGCAGTAGGATCTTCACGATTGCGGAACCAGTACGGGTAGAAGTCACGCAGTGCTAGCGTCGCCTGCGAATCTCGCCAACGTCGAGTAAGAAGATCGTGGATTTGCGACAATCCTTGCACAATCTGAACAGTTTCTCTCTGAGTTGAGTAAAATACCAGGGGCTCAGCATCATCGACTGTTTTGGGCTGTTTGAAGGTGCCCATAACCAGAGCTGTAGTGCCCTCCGCTCGCAAAAAGGTTCCAAACCGAGGCATTTCTCCATCCGGCATTTCGTGAAGATGAATGCGTCGATCGACACCTCCATCCGATCCATCCATGGGCTTAACCAACGGAAAGCACGGGTGACGTCCTTCGCAAAAGCAATTAAACTCTTGCGCCACGCGATGCAGGTCGTCGCCAAAAGTTCTGAAAATGAGGTTAAACTTCACCTCGTTCTTCTGTAAATATTCCAAAAATCTGAAAAACGCCGGCACAATGAAGCAGTACGGCGACTCGCTCAGCCCCACTTCTTCTAACTGCGCTTCACTTGCCCCAGTGAGAGGCAGTAGCAAGTGTTGTAGGAGTTCATCGTGCTCGCTTTTCAATCCCTCCCCTGGGTTCCCCGTCGCCGTGAAATCCTGACGTAGCACCTTCCTCATGTGTTTGTGCTCCTTGGCGATCTTGGGATCTCCCGATAGTGGGAACTACAGTCACAGTACGGTCACCATCGTCAATCCACCCACCCACCAAACGCAGCTACCTCGAGGAGCTCAAATAACCCACCTTGGCTCTTAGAAATGCTCCGTAGGATACGAGATTGTCGTCCTCTCGAGCGTCCAAAGCTCCTTCCCCCAGCGCTTTCTCTCCGTCCCAGACCCACTGGGAATCGCCACCGGGCACGTCGATTACGCGACCCAAGGCTCGTTCGGTCAGTAAGTCGTTCAGTATATGAGGAAGCGTCTTCCCCTGCACAGGATCGTGCATGATCGCTGTCTGTAGTCATCGGAACAACGCGAACTTCGGTCAACGCGGTGCACACTACCTGGTAATCGTCTGCAAACCGCCAGTAAGTCATGTTGAAGGTAATCGCACCTTGTTCACATCGAAGTACAGCAGCACGTGCTTAGTCTCCATCATCTCGTGCAAAATGAGGCTGTGTAAGAACGAATTTCTAACATCATCAGTAAATCTGATGTCAACCACACTATATTACATCTCCAAGACTGAATTATGTTTTCGACACTATTTAGTGTTCTGAACGCGTAATTCCCTCAATTCTACCAATCTGCAAAATGGCCGGCAAGGAGGACGCGCCGTTGGAGGCGCTACGCATGCTGCGTGCGCACCTGATCGCTGGCAAACCCGTAGAGGTGGAAGGAGAAGACCTGGTTTTCCGCGATGCGTCTGGCTCAGAACTACGACGACTGCCGAAGCACACGCCTACGGCCTACCACTCAAAGAAACTGGACAAGAGCTACGACCTATTGGCCGTGCACACATGCTTCAAGCACGCAGACTTGTCCTTCAGTGACTATGTACTCAAATGCCGTGAGGACAAGGCGGCCATGGTGTCCACTGTGGACAAGAAAGAGCTTGTGGCCTTCCTCAAGGGAGACATCGACAGTAGTCCCCAGATTCTGGATGCTAGTGGAAAACCCACGGCCGCTTCGGGCGAGAAGGACAGGAAGCCCACGACAAAGAAGACTAGAGAGCCCGAGGATGACGCACGAGCCGCTAAGAAGCGGAAATTGGCTCAGGAGAAGGAAAATCATCGTCATAAGCACGGAGAGAGCCATAAAACCCCGCAGGAGGTGAAACAAGACGAGCAAATGAAGAGGATAACAGACAGAGAGTACGTCAATAGGACGCGCACTACAGTGCTGGACGCACACAAGACCAAATTCGATAATGTGGTCAAGACGCTGGAGCTCGTGAATGCAGAGACCAAGGAGAAGATCGAGAAGGCCAGCAAAGCCTCAGCTCTGCTGGCTACCACCACGGCCAGAAAGGAGCAACTTCCACTGCACAGACTGGTGAAGGAGAAGATCCTGGGCACTCCGATCATTGTGGTGCCTGCTGGGTTCTCGGATCTGTTCACTATGTTGAATGCCAAGGACTTTTTGGAGGACGGAGTGTATGTGTCCAACATGCAGAAGAAGTCGGAGGGACATCGCAAACAGCAGTCGATGATGATCACGCATGAGGAAGACGGACACGTGTACACGTTCAAGATCGTGGACACGGTCAACCGGTTCAGAGACAAGGACTGGTGCGTTGAAGTCAGGCAGGTGTAAGGATGGTACTCATGTCTATTTATTGTGGTGTTAGGCGCTCGGTTGTTGGTGTTATTGTGTCGGGTCAGTCGTGGCAGTTCAAGGGCTGGAAGTGGAAATTTCCGCTCGAGGTGTTCAAGAAAGGTATGCTTTACTGCAGTGCTTCGCTTTCCTCGAGCGTGGCTTACTTATGAACTTTTGTTGGTGTTTTCGACAGTGTGTGGAGTTCACATCTACAACCAGGGATCCCAGCTCAACCCTGAAATTAAGCAGTGGGATGTCAAGGTGTTAATGGTAAGCGGACATCGAAGACGCACGGATTAGATGACGGCGGCTAATTATTGTTGTGTCTGATAGATCCACCCGGACAAGCGGCATTTGGACAAGGTGGCAGCCAAAGAGTTCTGGCGCTACTTGTTCGCTTTCATCAAGCACAAGCTGCAGTAAGAAGGCCGCGTAGAGGTACTCAAGCTACATTCCAAGTTGATGCGACATTGTTTTCGAGGTCTTAGCGCAGCAATAGGAGAATTGTACTACAGGAGCCACGATGTGCTGACGCGAGGAGACACAAACCCATAACAGGCAAACAACAAGCGCTGGATGCTCGGACTATATTACGTGCAATCGGTTACCACTGGGATTAACGGTGTTAATTGTCTCTAGGCGCCAGGATCGATGCAGTGGAGACGGCAGACAATAGGGGGAATTAATCTTGAGGATGAATCTAATTCCATGACGTGGCAATGGTTGCGTGTGGTTGAACCAGGTCATCGAGAACTTGTCGGCACCCGGAAATAGCAGCGGTGTGCCTCTGCCTCGATGCTTTTTAGGCAGCAGTTTCATGCGGTAGGTTTCGTTCATGTCGGGCTGAGCTCTAATTCGAGATGAGGTTGCGATGTGCTCTTGGTATGTTGGCATTTAGACGTTTGTAGTTGCCGCCCCGGAGAATTCTCACCGGCGTCACGATAGTCGCTACATCGGACGCGATACCAGTGTCATCAGTCTACCGGGCAGTGAAGTATTTGTGCCACCGTTCGACCTTCTCAGGACGGACGCACCCCGCAACGCAGGACGCGGCTGGGTACTGAGCAAAGGTGGCGTTACGACAACGCAAGAAGAGCGAGTCATCGGTGGTGGTAACGACGGATAAAGAGGAGCAAATAGAGGGACAAATCAAGCGCACGGGACCGCAGATGCCGACTCTGTCGTCGAGCAGTCAGCAGGGAATCCCCGTAAAGCAGGCTGGCAGTGGCATTATATCTACTGGTGCAGGATCAGACAGTAACGATGGCGTTGGACCCAAACGCGCACTCAAACACGCCATGACACTCTCGCATTTCCCGTCGAACCGAAGCTTGAACAAAGTGGCGCCCGAGGATGTCATGCCTCCCCCGCCACCGACACGACAGCAGAAGGTGATGGCGTTTGTCGAGCACAAGTACGTGAGCTCCTTCATGACTGCCTGCACGATCTTCGCGCTCTTTGGCGATGACTTCCGGGTCAGTTTCTTCCCGAAAAGTGCCGACGATCATGTGTACAACGTGCTGTTTGCACTCTTCATCTTCTTCTCCATCGAGCTGGTCTGTAACGTGTACAGTCGTCCCAACTACTTCAACCACGGTCGAGGCTTTTCCTTTTACATGGACTTGATATCGACGCTGTCTGTGATCCCGGACGTCGACTGGATCTGGTCCAAAGTCGTCGGGACGTCCAGTTCGACTAGTGCGTCGCAAGCTGCTGCACTCAAAGCAGGTCGAGCGTCTCGAGCAGGAACAAAAGCTGGTCGAATAGTGCGTCTGGTGCGATTGTTCCGAATGTTACGTATCCTGCGCGTCGTCAAGAAGAACAAGAACGGTGAGACCAAGAAGATCGAGATCTCGGAGCCGTCCAAGATCGGAAAAGTGCTGACCGAGAAGACGACGAGGAGGCTGATTGTGCTAGTGCTGCTGATCATCATCGTGTCTCCGATTATCGACGGTACAGTGGACTTGACACAGGACGATTTCCAGACGTCTCAGTTCGAACGACTGCATCGCTACACACAGGACTACAACAAGACTGGAACCATCACTATGGAGCACATGCGAAGCCTAGTCAACGAATACGTACGCGATTCCAACGGACTGATCGTGCAGATGGAACTCTCCAGTATCGACAACGCACTGCTTAAGACATGGCTACAAGAAGTCAAGTTTCAACCATTGAATAGCGACGAAAGCGACTGGCAGTTTGGGTTGAACCAAACGCTGTCCAAGAACCCGAAGACTGGATGGTCAGCCTCGTATCTCGTGGATACTCCGACCGACAAATATCGCACTACAGAGATCACGACAGTGGACAATCTGGGCTGCTACGTCGACGACATTTGTGTCGACTGCGACGCCGCTAGTGGCACGAGTCGGTGCCATTCAGCTGTCACGTACGACATCTCGTCGTATACCAGAGGCGCAGCCAACTTGAACATCGGCAAGACGATCGTTGTGATGATTTGTTTCGCTGTATCCATCTTCGTGTTGACCAAGGACGCCGAGTCAATGGTTATCGGTCCGATTGAACGCATGATGCGGCTTGTTACTCAACTCGCACAAAATCCTCTGGGATCTACCGAAGCCAAGCGCGAGGAATACGAAGACGACGTACCGAATGGCACGGACTACGAGACCAAAATGCTCGAAGATACACTCAGTAAGATCGGTCGTTTACTACAGGTGGGCTTCGGTGCTGCTGGTACTGAGATCATAGCGAAAAACATGGGAGGGGCTGGCGACTTCGACGTGATGATTCCAGGCAAGAAGATCACGTCAGTGTTTGGCTTTGGGATCATCGAACACTTTACCGAAACGTGTAGTATCTTAGAAGAGGACGTCATCACGTACATCAATACAATCGCGGAGATTGTACACGGTGACGCGAAGGTTTTCCATGGCGCAGCGAACAAGAACATTGGCTCAGCGTTTCTATTGGCGTGGAAGATCTGCGATGGCTCGTTGCCTGGTATGCGCGACCCGCGTGATCCAGCGGACAAACCTCGGATGTTACCGGCCGAAAAGACGAGGAAACGTGATGGAATTTACATAAAGAGCGCTGGATCGGGCACAGCAGTGCGACGTATTGGCCCGACGGAGCTGGTTGACAGTGCTCTCACTGCTGTACTGAAGATGCGGGTGGATATTCACAATGCCAACCATCACGGTACATTGCACAAGTACTGTACGAATACCAAGCTGATCGCTGCGTTCGATAGCTTTGAGGTACATCTAGGCTTCGGACTGCATATTGGCTGGGCTATTGAAGGCGCTATTGGCTCGAGATTCAAGATTGACGCGTCGTATCTGTCTCCGAACGTCAACATGGCTGCACGTCTCGAGGCAGCTACAGGCCAATTCGATGTGCCGATGCTTATTTCTGAGTGGTTTGTGGACGAATTATCAGCTGAAGCTCGTCGATTCTGCCGTAAAATCGACCGAGTCGCTGTAAAAGGCAGCGAGATCCCCATGGACTTGTGGACGTTCGACATTGGAATGTATCCAACTGAAGGGGTGAAGCCCGAGATCAACGAGGAAGGGAGGCAAAAACCGGTTGAGTTCGGTGTTGACCCTATCTACACCACTCTCCAGGAAGGCATTCCTAGTGCCTTTTTCTCTAATTTTCATGAAGGCATTGGTGCCTATTTTGCCGGTAAATGGGACGTCGCAAGGTCAAAACTCTCTGCTGCTAACCAGATCTGGGAAGACGGACCCACTAACGTCGTACTGAAGGTCATGGAGACGGAAGGACGGACAGAAGAGGGTGAGTTCATGGCCCCTACATGGTGGAAAGGCTATCGACAACTTACAGAAAAATAATAGCTCGTCGTTCTTTAGCAAAACTAATAAAACTGTATTTCCTACTTCAACTATTTTTCTGTAGCCATCACCAAAAATACTGAGAATAGGGATACATTTTTATGTGGTATCATTGGTTTAAAATCCTTCGAAACCTTTTCAACCAATCCAATGCAGTTTTCATTGAAACTTGCCACGTAACAATCAAATGCGCGTGGACGTCACTGCGCGCTTCCGGGAACTGGCCCCAGCGCGGCCCCACTCGTCTACAAGACGGCCAAATGCCTTCTTCATTGAAGCTACCGATTTGGTGCGTTGATAAATCCGAAATTCCGGTCGAATTCGTCCCGCTACGAGAAAAAATACAATATTTTAGGATACCCCACTGTATATTCCGAAGTTTTTCTAACAAATTATTACATTTCTTCTCTTAACAGTTGAGCAGCTTGCAGGAGATGGAGAAGCTGCTACGCCGCGTGAAGCCCAAATATTTGTTGCCCAAGTGCTTTGTCCGGACAAAAGGGTCCCAAATGAGCGAGGAGGACAAGGACGAGCTGGACGCAGTATGCTAAAAAAAAGACAGTTTATTCAGGACACAGTATACTGATGCTGCTTGTTGTCTGTTTTAGGACCTGGTGGAGCTCATCAAAAGCTGCAGCAGCAGAATCGACGCACTCAAGGCGACAATGGAAGCCCAAAGTGAGTTTTTTTTTATTTAGTATATATTGATGCCGTGGATGCTTAAATTAACGAGTTCTATGAAGATCTTGTGACCTCTGAAGGGGAATATCAGAGAGAAGTGGTAACCTACTTGCTTGAGGTACGTTGATGCTTAACGAGTGTCTATTGGTGGATAATATGGCCTAATATGCTTTTGAGGTTGTTTGTAGCGGTTGAAAACTGTCGCTGATAATGCGAAGCAGATGCAGAAGAAGAGATACCAGCAGCCGTTTCTACTGTCATCCCGGTGAGTTTGTTATTGAATAACAAATGTACTGAAGAAGCTTGGCTTATTTTATTTTTATTGGCTTTTGATGCTAAAGGCTGCTGCCTGAAGACGACCGGCAAGAATTGGATGCATTGGAGCAGAAGATTGTGCAGATGAGGAAGGAAGAGGCTAAGAAGAAACAGACCGCTGTTGCCTCTCCAAAGAATGCCGAAGCTCCGCCGCTCTCACCACCAAAATCACCCATAGCATCACCTCGTGCTGGCTCTTTATCGCCACTGGCTCCGTCGTCACCAGTGAAGCTAGCAAAGCCAGAATTCTGCCGGTGCACCGCCTCGAAGGCACGACAAGCACGGCAAACAGTTCAGGTACGGGTAAATGGAGGCCGAAAACTCTTGGCATCGCACTAACCTCTGATGGTGCGATGTTACGTACAGCAAGCCCCAGTGTTTGCTTCACAAAACGACGACCTTGAGTTCACGGAAGAGGAAGACCGTCGTTTCCGTGTTGAAAACGTGATGCTGCATCGTCACTTCCAAGAAAACCTCGAGGATGCCAAGTGAGTTGTTCGTGATAAACGTGATAATTGTCATAAGTATTCTGACATTGTTGCTTTAGAAAAATGGAGTCGAAGATGGCCGAGATTTCCAACTTAATGGGTCAATTCGCGGACAAAATCATGGAGCAGCAGACTGATATTGAGCTTATCCAACAACATGCTCAAGAGACAAAGTCCAACATCACTCAGGTGCGTTTGGTAGAGTTTTTTTTAATTTTATTTGCAATACATATGACAGCTCACGACTTTCACTTGTTAAATTCCAGAGTAATCGCATTCTGGAGCAGACTCAGAAGATCGGGAAAGGCTACGGCTTCATGATCTTCTGTTTCTACGTGGGCTTCTCCGTTCTCCTGCACATGCTGCACTACTTTAACAGCTAAAATACACGCGGTAGAGCTCTGAACTGCGGGACACGTGGCTAATCTATGTACTCTGCGTGACTTTAGATCGCATCGACAGCTTCCTGACTCAGCCCTTCATAACACGTGAGTCCGTCAGCATTCAACAGATCATCCCGTGCTCCTTTGTCCATCAAGTATTTCATCAGGTCTTGGAAGCCGTACTCGTGGCAGTAGTGGAGCAGCGACTGGCCATTCAAGTTCTGCGTATTGATGTCAGCTCCACGACGCAGACACAGCTTGGCGATGCGTTTGTTGTTGTTCTGACAGGCCACGGACAGCAGCGTGTTGCCTGTAGCATCTTTGGCGTCGATACCGATAGACCAGTCCGGACTATTGAGAAGCAGCTCGACTTCGTCGTATTTCCCGTGTCGACAAAGACTGAAGATTGTATCCAGCTGCTCGGATTCTTTGACGGCTTGAGAGACGGCGTCGCGCTTCTCTACTACCGGTATGGGTTTGGTACTGACTGGTTGAGCGGTGTCTGTAGCGGTCTGGACGAGTTCTGGACGCTGCATGAGGTCCTCGATGAACTGCGTGCTGAAGACTGACCGACCGGCAGTCCACGGGGAAAATCCGATCGATAGCCACTCGTCCAGAGCTCCACGAGGTCGCACGATGCCGACACTTGTCGGTTGATTCATATTCTTGATGATTGGGAGATAATTGGCCTGCATTTGACAAGTTTTGGTACTGGTGACGGCTGCTACGAAGTCTTTGGGAAGACAAGCAACGCGTTGGTGTAGAGCGCCACCGAAGCCTTCGACTGCTGTTTGGCTCTCACTGGATGCGTCAACAGGCTTGCGGATCCAAGATGTGCCCTCTCCTGGCGGTGGATGGGTCTGATAGCCCGGTGTCTTCTTGCCAATATGAGGAGGTGTTTCACTATACTCAACGTCATCCGGAGTTGGAGAGATATCCACCGATGCAGCCACGGAATATCCGCTTCTTGAAGACAACCGAGACGTCGCTATGGAGCTCGTCTCGGACCTCGACGAACCGGGTTCTTCGTCGTCTTCGTCCAATTCGTCGACATCAATGGTGTTCTGGCTTTGGAGTTTTCGAGCGAGTTCGGACCGCGCAGAGCGGACAGCTAGTGCAGGTTTTGATGGAGATGCGCTTTGCTGCTGGACACGCATGCCAAGCCCCATTCCAAGTCCGATTCCAAGCTGCAACATGTCGACACTGGCGCCTTTAGCCGCTCCACCAAGCGCTTGTGTGATACTGTCGATCATCTGCTTTGTACTAGAATCGAATGCCATCGTCGCGTCCTCCGGTTCGGTGGAAGCTCCAGCGATCTGTACACTTGACTTGGCTGAACTTGCTGAAGACGCTCTACTGGCAGCAATGCTACTGCGTTGTGGACGTTTCAAGGAGATTTGTGGTACTTGAATACGCGTGAGTTCGTTCCCAGTAGAAACCGGTTTTGACCTTTTGGAGGTGAGATCGACGACAATATCGTGCTTCTTGGCACTTGCAGTCACGAGTTTCACGCGACGTTCTTTGTCTTCTGGGGCCTCCATCTTCTTACTCATATACTTGCGAAGATTTTGCTGCGAATACCGTGCATCTCCGCTGTTTGTGACGCCGACTCCAAGTGTAGCCACTTCGCCTTCTCCTGTCGTGATGACCCCATCAATATCGCCGTCTTTACCTCGATACTTCTCGACTGGTAGAACGGGACGTGTCCAGAACGTATCGCCCGTGTTGCGATCATACCAGTACGCTACGCCGTCTTCAGTGACAAACTCATCGTACGGATTGTTCTGCATATACGCCCAGCTACGATACACAACACTAGAGCAGGCTCCAAGCGCACCTTCCGGGTTCGAGTTCTTCATAAAGTCACCGGGTTGTTGTCTACCGAGCGTTGTGAACGCTTGAGGCTGATTCCGACTGGATTGGCCAATCCAAAGCAAGTCAATGAACTCCACTGGAGTATTCTCTCGAGTTGTGGGCACGCAGAACGGGTACGTTCGATCCACGCGTGTGGTTACAGTCGCGTTCATTGACGCTACGTTAGGTGCGAGAACAGCACTCGAAGGAGCGACTTGTACACCGGGAACCACATCGTTCACTGCGAAGGGATCAACGAGCCAAAATGTGCGGAAGCCGTTGGCTTCTTCCTCTCCGGTTTGTTCTGGTCGATTCAGTGGGAATCGACGGGCTTCGAGTGCTTCGTCGAGGTGGATTCGAGCAGCCACGACGATACACGGAGGTCTTCGGACGTTGAGTGCGTGTTCAAGCGCTCGATAAACGTACTCAGGTGTGCTGGGTTCGACTACGAGACAAGCGAAGGTTACGCTCTCGTCGTGTGACGGTGCTGGGGCTACTGCTCGTCGGTCGAACACTACAAAGTTACCGAATTGTGCCGGAACATACGTGGTTACGAGCATGTGGATCAACAGTTCAGCAGACAAGCCACCGATGTCCAGGTTGCCCGGTGTAGGCTTACGAGCGAATGTCGCGAAGAGCACTACCAGAGGTCTCACGTGTTTGGTTCGTCTTGCATCGGTCGAGCCATGGGGCGGACTACACGCTCCAATCTGTAGCGCAGCCTTCTGTAGTGCAGCGATAGCCATACGCGCTGATAACCTCTCCAACCAACTGGCACTATGGCCTGCGTCGAAGTAGACGTTAGGGACGGGTAGTGGTAGGCGTTCCAGGAAGGTCGGCACGGGCATAGGTACACAGCGTAGAGGCGGCAGTTCGTAGACTCGAGGCTTGTATAGAGCTATAGGCTTCGTGTACTCCGTCACGAGGATCCAGTTACGTAATTGCGGCTTAGCTGGATGAATCGTGATGACGTCGCGTAGAGGAACCGGGTGAGTACCGGTCCGGTCTTTGGCGGTCACTGGGGCTCTCGGGTGGAAGTCACAGACGCTTTCCGAGTACTTTGAGACCCACCGAGCATTCTGAAGTGTGTTTTTTAGCTTGAAAAAAGACGACGGCCGGGTGGAATCCTTGTCGCCTCTGAGTGCTCGTGGTAAGCGATCAGTTCGAATCTGTTCGAGAAATGATCGGAACCAAGAGCGCGTGTGGAGTTTACGACGCATTGTCTTGTTCCAAGCAGTGGAGAGCTGGTCTATCGCTCGGTAGATTGGATGTCGACACTCGATTACAGTGACGTACTGCTTTAACTTCTTGTCATAACGCAGACACGCACGTTGCTTCATGAAGATCTCCTGGATCTCCTCTGCTCGGTATTTTCGTCGTAGTTGATCCAGTTCCCAATTCGCACACATGAGAGCACTCTCAGCCGTACGAACCTTTCTAGTCGCATCGCTAGGATCTTGATGCAAGTCGCAGTGACGTCCATTGCTTGCACTCCAGCAGTTAAAACAAACCTTTACAGCTTCTTGTCGAGCAGCTTCTCTGGATTCAGAGTCCAAGTCAGCGTCGTCTTCTTGTTGCGAGTTGTTTCTCCTTGACGTTTCTTCCATAAAACCAGGATCTGCAAGGTCTCGGATGTGTGGAGGCCTCCCAGATCGACTCGCTGCTTTCGCTTTACTGCGAATACTCGACCGTGTTGGAGACTCTGGATTAATCTGATCACCTTTCACTCTCTTGTTTCGATCACGGGCAAGTACAGCAACAAAAACCGGTTCTTCACGCTTGCCAAGTACGATCTCGCGTCGACGGGTTCCTGGTGTAGCAGCACCTGATTGGTTCCGGGAACCTTTTCCAGGAACAGATTTGCGTCGTAGCACGGCGTTAGAAGCGATGAGGGAAGAAATTGAGTCGAACTTTGACACATGTAGTGCGCTACGGATCGTGTCTCGTAGCTTACTGTTCTTACTGCCATCTGCACGGAAGAGTGTGTCGTTTGTCTGCCAGTCGCTGTCAGTATCATCACTCGTAAATTGGTCATCCCTTTCTTCGTCGAGATAAAGAGATAGAGACCTCCTTTGATCGAAAAATGGCTCTGTATCGCCTACTTCGCTGTCTGCGTAGTTGCCATTATCTTGAGTCTCGTTGGAAAGACTGCGCTCTGAAGGGAGTACGGAGTCGCATTCCCACACGTTCGGTAACGATTGGATGGATTCAGGCTGTAACGCTGGTAGATTGCGAGGAGATCTGATAGATTTCTTGGCTTCCTTAGAACCCCGAGCTCCAGATATCCGATGCTGTTGCTCTTGATCACTGGACGTCGATCTCGCAGAGGAACACGGCGGAGAAAGAGGCGGTAGTGTATCGGATCCTACGACTCCTAATAAAGAGCGTTGGTTGGCTCGAGAAAAGTTCTTTGAACGGCTGCTGCTATTTAGCACAGGAAGCGATTGACACACTGGTATTGGGGCTGCAGGAGTGAACGTCTGCCCTACTGGAGGTTCCCATTGACTGACCCCGGTTGTTGCGTTATAGTACCAGACTTCGCCACGCTCGACATCACGCACTTCATGCCACTGATCCACTTCTGGCTCCACGTTGTTATTGTTTTCAAGAGTTTTCTGTTGCTCTCGCCACCTTCGACGACACAGAAATCCTCTGGAGTGTGCTTGAATCAAAGTAGCGCTAGTCTCCAGTCGGTTTTGAAGCGGTTGATCACGTTTCTGCTGCTTGTTTCTGAGCATTTGCTCGGTTCGAAGACGCTCACCATTGACAATATTTTCTTGTCGATTCTGTTCTCGTTGGAAGGTATTCTTTTGCCATTCAACACTGTGTTTCGACGGTCTTAAATCCGGGTAAAAAATGTCTTTGGCTTGGCGGATCCGTGTCTCCTCGGCATTAAACGCTGAAGGATCAACGGGCCCAACTGGATCAGTTCGTCCTCGCGGCGACTTTAGGTCTGCATCGCTTGTAGGTTTAGTATCGGCCAGGTCATCCTCCTCGTCATCGTCCAGAACTTCGATAGTCAAGCGCGTTTTACCTCCTCCAGCTGTAGCCTTTGGGGTTTTCTTTGGTATTTTTACCGGCGTTTTGACGAGTCGTAATAGCTCTGCTGTCTCTGCGTGTAGCTGGACTAAACTTTCATCACCTTTGAAAACCACAGGAACTCCATCGTCAGAGATTTCGTCCTTTTGCCTTCGCCTCTGTGCTTGAGCTCTACTATTGCGCTTCGAGAAGAAAGAACGCATGCTACTACCGCATGCTCGATCAATCCGACCAGTACACAATTAGCACGGAGGTAGACGACGCACTGGTAACGGCTCAATTCGAACGATTATGCTGAAAAAAAAAGAAGACAAATATACCTTGACAGCGTTTATCGAACCTGCACAAGGGCTCTAAGAATTTTTTTTCTGAGTGCCTGATGTCCTGTGGGCTATATTATGAGATGCTACGCAGATTTAAATAAGTTTCTAGTAGGAGTAAGAAGTGACGTCGCACCACGTGCAATCACTTTCGTCGGTTGGAGCTCGAATCACAAGGTTTCCGGGTTGCCTCTTCGGCCACAAGTTTAACCCCACCGCACCACTCCCGGGAAACACAGCGCTAATCAATTCTACGTTGTGCTACAAAACTGCGGCATGGCCCACACAACGACTATGGTCTGAATCTGAAACTGTCCGACCTAAAGCGAGGTCACGACCAAGAAAAAGAAAACTACCATAATCTCTTCTGTTGTCATAATATGACAATATTATTGAAGTGATTGCCAGATGTTGGATATTGGTAGGAAGTCCAAGAAGAGTTTTGAGCCAAATGCATCTTCGCACGTGAATCTTTCTCCTGTTTCATTTATTTACAATTGGCCAAATGAAAAGAAGAAGTTGAGTAGATGTAATAGGTCTCGGAACACTACGAAGGAAGCTGACGCTTCCAGGCAAATCAAAGCTCTGTTATTGGTCCTAGGTTAGATGTGTAAGTCATTTTGGCGGCCGCTCTGTCGGCCTTGGTGGTTTTGTAACCTATGTCCTATTATTACTCTCCTTGCCAGCTTGGCGATGTCTACCAGTCGACATCGCCCGGTGAGTGGGCTAGGCTTGATCTGTTAGCCGCCACTACAGTAGAATCATTTTCTTGAACGATCACAGCCCGATATTTGATCCATGTGCATGAGTCATATGTACATGAGCCAACGGAGTGGTTAAAGTATCTCCCCTTGATGTAGACTACCTTGGTCACCCCTGTGATCGTGTTCATCACAGTTTTAAGGGCATCTATAAAGGTAGTGTTGGTAGTGTCACGGCTTGGTTTACCGTTCAATGAGCTGTCCGAGTCAGGGCTCCTCCGGTTAAGTATTCTACTGAATTGTCTGCCAAGTGCTGCAATAGTAATAACGGCAATACAAGAGCCAACAATAATAAAAATTGCCGTAATTACTGGTACATATTCATGTGGTTTATCAGTACCTAACGTCGTCACATCCCGCATGTCCTGTAACCTGAAATTCTCAGACAGCAAAAATGTACGCTGGGGAGGAAGCACCCGCTTACATTGCGATAAAGTCACGCACACATCCGATCGAGCAACATTAGATGACGTCTTGTACCCCGACGCCGTTGCTAGTCAATCGATATATAGTCTAGAATGCAGTTTAGAGTATAGAGACCACAAGATATGCGGGGCGTCCAGCATTTTGGTCGGTAGCTTGAATTTTGTATGTGCATACTTTTGTAAATTGTATTGCAAAAATTGATTCATTATCATATTGTATTTTTGTAAATAGCTCCAATAACCCGTTTTTTTTTATTACAAAGAACTGAATATAGTGATACTGAACTTTTTTTATCTGATCAGAGTCGTCATAGGCTACCTGGAGCACTTGATCCAGGAAACACAGGGCAAAACTATTTACTGGCACCGGTGGAGATGCTCTAAGAGAATTTCCACCGGTGTTAGTAAAAAGCAAATAGCAAAGGCCAATTGTTCTCGAAATACTACCAAAGATCTCTACCGATTTAACAGAATCGCCTTGCCTCCGAAATACGGGGATGACATGAAGCAACTCATCCCAGGTATGAAGAGAATAACGATATATTGTAAACAGACATCTCCACATCGTCCTGAAAGCAATCGTTGTTACTTATTCGCTCTACCAACACCAGTGCACTACGACCATCAGAGATACTGACGGTGGTTTTTCGCAC